CAGTAGCCGGAGCAGCGAGGGCGACCGAGGCACAGACCGGACCGAACGCAGCAATGTGAGCAGAATGATTTGTGATAATAGTCACGTATGTGCTTAAAGGAGATTTTAATCTAGTGTTATGGGTTTTATGGGTCTGGTGAATAGGTGAACGGGGTGTGGTGATGCGATGGAGGTGTATTCGTGAACTGGATGAGATGTGACCGTAGAGAAATATCGTCGATGGTGGTGGTTTAATTAGCGCAGTTTTTGGCTTAACTGGTGGAACAGCGGGTAAAAGGTAGCAGGCAGTAGAACCGGAGACGAGAACGTGGAATAAGGTGTTTTAGAAAAATGGGGCATCTCGGATTATGAACTAAATAGAAATGAAGCGGTGAACGGGGAGTGTCGGCAATGAGAGACGCACCTCTGGCGATCTCGCTGAAGTGGCAGGCAGTGAAGAGGTGAAAGAAAGATAAAAGTAAGGCGGTGGCGTGAGAGACAATAGCGGATGGGAGGGCGGCAAAGAAGAGAGCGGGGAGGTTGGTAACAGGTACAGAAGTGACAGAGTGGAGATGGCTGTGGTTCATTACAGTGAGGGTGCCAGAAGGGCGAGGGAGCGAGGCGACGGCCGCGTCAGGAGCGGCGTGGGCGACGAGGAAAGAAACGACGGGGGCGGCGCGTGCGAGGCGGACGTGGCCGGCGGGGGTGGGGAGGGGGCAGTGGGGAGGCGCGGGCGTGAGCGAGGACCGCCGCCCGCTGATTGGAGCGATGAATTGTCGCGATAAGGCAGGAAAGAAATAAAAGGGAGTCGCCGTCTGAGGCAGTAATTAATAAAAGTATTTGCAACACCGACGTATTTATTGAGGCCAGTAAAAGAGCGCGGCGCGAGGGCTACGTGACGGGGCCACGGCCGCGGCCGTCGAGCCACAACGGGCTTTCTCGGAACGACCACAACGTCATCACCTGTTTGTAAAAAAAGAAATCGTCGGTTCTGAAGAAATGCGGATCGCCCTATCGGAACTCGTCCTCAAAGCAACACCATTGACCTCCAACAACAGAATTACGATGGTTTCCAGTAATCTAGCTTTACTTAAAATAAGGGATCTACGAGGTCGTTTGAATAACATTGGAAAATATTGGCGGTGCAAACTGATTCAGTTTACAAGAGACAAATTACTTATTTTCACTCTATACAGTGATAGTTTTCTGACAAAATGCTTATATGAATTGGAATTTTATTCAGATCAATGAAATCAAAACTCCAGAAGTTAGGCATAATTCTAACATATCCATCGTCACATCATAAAATAGGAATGAATGAATGTTTTGTTGTTACGTAAAATTTGATTTATTTTACCAATAGGAGGATTAAATGACAATAACTATTTAATTTAATTTTGTCTCTAATTCTGAATATACTTCGTTGAATGTTCTTTTACCGTCTATATTACCAATTTCTAATGCGCACATAAATTTAATGAAAACTTTGCAGCCTCTGACCATGTCAGTGGTGTTTATGGTTTCGTTAGAGCCAGGAAATCGGGGGGAAAACCAAGAACAATGGAACAGTTTCGATTTTGACCGAAAAAACAACTTAATTCTCTTTCTCATGGCGTTACTGCTTATGACACAGCTGTCTTGTGGCAGCAAGGCGCAAAAAAAGATGCCATTCGCCATTAAATATTTGCTATTACCCCGTTGCTTTATGGAAGAGCAACCTTTTTTATATATTGGGTGTGTAAAGAACTTTTGAACTGTATATATACTACCGTATTTTATTACAGTATGCGTGACATTAAAATATTTCATTTCTCTGCAGTTTTTTTATTTCTTGTTCTTGTGTGCTACTATTTGAAAAACCAGTTTGTGTCGTTTTGTTCAGATGCATTTTTGCTGCAAACCTATAAGTCACTAGTTTTAATTTTATTCCCGTCATTCTTTTCTTGACACTTAATGATAATTTTCTTTGTAATTATATTACCGCATCTAATAATAATAATATTAATAATAATAATAATAATAATAATAATAATAATAATAATAATAATAATAATAATAATAATACCAAGAAAGTATTATTTATTGCATGGTTTCTATTTCTTAAAAGGTTTTAAAATCTTACTGTAAGGTGAAAGGAGCAATATCAAGTGAATTTAATAAAAGAAGTGGCAAAGGCGAATCTGACACTTACTTTTTAAGAGAAGACATTTCTATTGAATTCTATCGCGAACATAAAAACTCAAGGACGAGTCCTTTCTCGAACCTATACATTGTTCTCATTTTCTACGATAAGCTCAACGATGGCGGCTAGTTACACTTGCACGCGAAGCTCCCGAAGGATTTTACCTTCGACCGAGGTCATATCTTACTAGCTCTCAAACGATTTCAGCTCACCGGGCAATAATTCAGCGCTCATTAACTCCACAGTCACACCACAATGATCAGTCGCACTTGCAAGAAGTGTTTCGATTCCCGTGGGGAAGTCTACTGACTTGGAAGTTCCGACGTCAGTTCTCTCCACCCAGTTTTCTTGCCTAGATCCGTAATAAGTCGAAAGGAAGTTCTTAGAAATGGAGTGAGTGCTCAGGGATCCGAGAAAAATTAACTATTCCTCCATGCTGTTCAAACACTAGTATTATTTCTATTTCTGAAACATATTTTGTACTTGCGTGGGGCCCAATTGGACATTTATCTAGACGATTAATGAAGTGATTTACGGCGATAATATTGAGGACAGCCACGATGGTAACATTAAGGTACAACGGAAACTTCGCAATTTACTCAAAGCGTTATGCAATATATTTTCCGACATTCGTACTGAAGATGCAGAATGGTGAGCAGTGTAAACTCTGCCTTGCATCGTATCCGTAGTTTTTATTTATTATTCTTCTTTTCTGAGCTTTCGCTACTACTGGCTAAAGTCAACGATTTGATTACTTAATTCTGACACTAGAGCAATGGAGGAATGAGAGTCAAAATAATTGGAAACAACAAGAGGTCACCAAATTTCATCATGAATTGTTGGAGGGCTTTGTAGATGAATTGACTTGTTACTGATTTTCCGGAATATCGTTATTATCTACGTAACAAGTCCTAACAAAGGGATGAAAAGCCGCTAACAGCCGTCGTCCGTAAACGATACTAACGGACGCCGTACATTAAGAACACTGGAAACGAATGCGTTGCAGCAAAACATTGTGTATGATTACTACTATTCAATAACCAATAATAAGAATTATTAATACCCAAAGGTATTTTTAATTTATAACCTATTTTTTATCTAATTAGATGATATTACGTAAACGACTCACGAACGATGACAAAAATAACAGACTCGGTTGGTTTACAAACCTGGGATATCCCCTCGGTTAGAAACATCAACCCCATTCGTTATTTGCTTAGGATTTGGCTACCGACATTAATAACTATTAAACATTGGGTTTTTAGAAGCCTCTTCCTGCTTTGCGTCACCCAAATTCCCCATGAAATTCCCTCAGTCCGCGCACGTCGCCAGCCAGCGCACCTGCGCGGCCGGAACGGGTCGGCCATCGCCAGCGCTCTCTGTGAAAACCTCGCTTCCGCCGCTAGCGACCGGGCCGTCTCGGCCGCTGCGTCGTCG